CCCCCAAAACCCCAAAACCCCAAAACCCCTAAGACTGGTAAGTATTCGGGGGGAATATGAAATCTGATTAGAAAATGATTAGTAGGATTTGTTTCCTCCGTTGTTGATAAATACCTAAGTAAATTATACAAAATACTTATAATAAAATAACCTCAATTACTAGTAAAGATATGAGCAGACGTAAGTTTCAATCACAATAACCTCTAAATCAAATATAGCACCTGCAGGCGCAAACGCTAAACCTTACTCCCAAGGGTTCCTTAATGAGACTCAAACTTCTTACAGCTTCCTCGAGGAAGTTACTTACAAAGTTAACCTTAGATGTAAGGATTTTACAATAATCCATCATATAATGTGCATATATCTAATCACTAATGTAGAACTTTACGTGATAAAATCAACTTGCTTTATCCATAATGCAATGGAATACTGCCCAGTACTTGTTCAGATACAATCAGAACTACAAAAGCATCACAATGGCGCCAAGTTCTTGCTATAAGTTTGGAACAGAGCAAACAAAAAGGTTTATGAGAAACCTTTAAGATGTAAGTTAATGCTCTCATATTTCTATTACTTAACTACTTGACAATAGCTGAAATCACTAAATGGAACATCAATTATAACTTTTTCATATTCAAAACTGAAAAACCAGATGAAGACAATGACTGTTTCCACATTGTTAACTTAGACAATGGAAACCAAACAATTCTTATAGAGGACTTCCTTTAAGATCCAGAATGTAATTTAAATTTTGCTAATAAATATTATCTAGTCAAATACTTTTCATACTTTGACAACACTTTTTACATTGCTAGTAGACAGCACATTAAGTTGCTTAAGCAAGGGAATGAGTATGAAAGTGGCGCAGTAGAGAGAATTACCGTTGACGTTGACAGTTAAGTCCAGACAATATCGCCAGAAGATGTTAAAATACATGGACTTTTCATAAATGAAGGAGACGATGGCAATCATGTACTCATTGTAGCTATGGAAACTCTAGACAATTAAATGGACTTTAACTACCTGACAGTTCTAGAAATCCCCCCTGATGCCGAAGAGTTCTAGTACAAATTTGTTTAAATGAAGGAAATAGTTCCAAGAAATGACAAATTCGACCCAGTCAACAGATTGGCTGTAGTCTTTGACAACTGGAATGATTTTTATGCACTTACTTCAAGAGAGTCAAACAAAATTGACTTCTATTATGCAGGTAACAGAGTCTCATCAATGACTGAACCTCCCAGCGAGTAAGTAAATGGAATCGATGTATCATTTGACGAGCTTTACTTCATGATGGGAAAGCATGATATCAGATCAGTTAAGTAAAATCTCAATGCCAGAATCTCATTTGATGAAACAGAATAGATGAAGAAAGGCTTCATTTTCCAAAACATCTTCTACCAGAGAATTAAGAATCACTGCAAACTTTTCAATAGCTTTGTCTTCATTAAGACTTACATGCTTGTGGCTCACGGTCATATTGTCTCGAGCTTCAATGTTCTTAAGCAAAAGTGGATAAATCACTTTGAATTTGACAGTCAAGTAGTAAGCATCTTCAGAATGAAGGACGAGAATGATGATTTTGACATTTGCGTTCTCTTAAGTGATGGCAAGATCATCTTCATTAATCAGCAAGCAAATGAGGACCCTGACTCAGAGGACTTTAATATTGACACCTCACTTGAGTTGAGCTGCACTGGCAACTTGTTAAAGTTCAGTAATGACAGAGATGACAATCAGTGGGCTTTCATGCTTGCATCTGAAGCTAACGAAGAAAAAGAATCTGGATTTACATACACCTTAAATATTCTTCACTAGAGATAGATGTATCATTTTACTGATGAAAAATATCCATTCCTATGCAGTAAGTTATAGTATTGCTTATTCTTTTTTTAGATGATACTAATTTCATATTTATGTTTGCTCCTAGTGATAAGACTGAAATTCTTATACAGTAAAATGATAATGTGTCACTTTATGAATTGACTATGGGCCCAGAAGAACCTGCCGTGAATTTCATCTGGCAAATGGACAATGTACCAGACCTTGAAAAGCAAATTCACTCTGGTATAAGATTTAAGGACGATAGATTTATGTTCATTGTTGATGATGAGAATTTCTACAAAATTGATATTAAGACCAATGAAACAAAGACTTATGTCGAGCAAAAATGTGTCGGTCTCTACTTCTCTGACAATAACTATCTGTACACACTTTGTCATCAAACTAACCCCACTGGATGGTAAGTGAAATAGTCAGGTTTCAGACTCTACGATATTGAGAATGTCATTGAAAAGGATCAAGACTTGTCTTACTTACTCAGCAGTGTTTAAGTAGGTTGTCAGGGCCTTATTGACTTCAGTCACACCAACCAAAGACTCGTTTTCCTCTCTTCCTATGACAATATCGAGGTCATTCCTGTACTCCACAGAAATACGGTTTCATTCATCGGTATGGAAAAGAGAGAAAAGTATTTGGCCGCTAGAGTGATTGAAGATAAATTTGTGACTCTTGACAGACACAATGTTCTGAGAACTTGGGGTGTCTTGACTGGTAAAATTAGAATGCAGTGGAATCTAAAGGACAACAAGACTGATTAAGACTACTCTAATTTTGAAATCTTCATGTGGGATGAATACAATTTCACCTATAGAAGAGAGTGGTACAATAAGATTTTAATCAAAAGTCTGACCCCTATTGAAGACTACGATGAGAATATCTTCTTCGAACCACAATAAACCAAAGCCCATATTAAATCTCAAGTAACCTTCGTCCAAAACACCACCAAAAGCTTCTATGAGTATAAACTTATAGAAATCGTAAATGAGAGAGAAATTAAGGAGCACTGCTCATTCATTCATCCATTCTATTAAGATGGTTAAGTGCAAAACATATTCTTCAGTCAAGACACTTAATATATGTATGAGCATCTAGTACATCAAAGACTCTATATATACAAGAAGCAAGTTATCAGTGGATCAAAGGTGACATGGCAGAAAGTACACAGATTCGTTAACTTCCCAGTGGATCTTCTAACCCAATGTGTCTATCCGTTCTTGTTCTCCAAGGATTTCTCAATGTATCTCGATGTTGACAGAAAACTTAGAACTTACATCATAAGAGACTCATTTACTTAGGAGATCAGGTATTAAATTCCTGATTGGTTGCTAGAAAGCTCGAACAAATTGGAAGGATTTCACATGGCAGCACACAGATTCATGTGGATTGACAACGATACTATCAAAATTGTAAACAAAGAGGGCATTGAGAGGCTAATTGATCTAAAGAATAACTTCAAAGAAATTGAGTTCAACAGAATTCCTATGTATGACAACGAATGGTGCAGTAACAATCACTATTACATTGATGCACCACCTCCAGAGCCCAAACCTGAAGATGAAGAATCGAACCCACCACTTACATTCGATACCCTTGAAAGACTAAAGAGAAAGTATCAGCACTATAAATCTGCTTACTATCTTGATAAGAAGACAGATGCTCATTCTTTGTACCAAGTCTTAAACACCGTAGATTACAATGTCAGAGAGACGGAGGAGAGATACATTGCAGATTTGAGCTTCACTTTCCTTCATTGGAACTTGATGGAACAGCTCGAAAGCGAAGAACTTGAAGCCGAATAAATTGATTAAGAACAGGTTCAGAGACTTATTTACAATATACTTCCCGGTGGATAGACATTCCTACACAAGCTGAGTGAAAAGTCAGATGTTATTGAAGCAATCATGGATATTTGCCAGCCAAATGCAGAAGACAGATCTGAAATAAAGTTTGAGGTGCCATTCTTGGTCAATTTTGAAGGCTAATCCCCAATGGACCTTTTAAACGAAAAGAAAGATTATAAAGGACTAGACATGATGCTAGGATATCTAGCTGGATACGATTATGATCATCATTCAAGAGCAATTTCACACATTATTCCAACTCTTATTGAAAGAGAACTACCATCAATTTGCGAATATTTAAATTCCAGATTACTTTAAACAGAGCACATTGCCAAGATAAAGAAAGGCATGATTAAGAGACATGATACTCCAGGTGTCAGTGTTTCTTCATTCTGGCATAACTAAGAAGACATTGATACCATTCTCTAACCTGCTCCAATCGAACAGGTACTCAATTTAGAATTCGTAGATATTCCCTACGTACACACCTACTCAAACAAAGTATCTAATACTTTCATGGCTGCTTTAGCCTCTACAACTGATATGGAACTGTTCGATCAAAAAGTAATTAGAAAGTTCATTGAGTATAAATGGCCTCTAACTCTTAGATACACAATAAGAAAGCTATTTTTGCCATTCATTGGTTTCTTAGGTTTTTATCTCGTTTACATGAATGAAATTTACTATATTAGGCAAAATGGTACTGCCTATGAAATACTTAATTACTTATTCGTTGTCCCTCTCACAATATTTGCATTCTATTTCTTGTTCATGGAGGTAAAGCAATTCCATAAAACTGGCATCTCCTATCTCTCATCATTCTGGAACTATCTTGATTTCACACCCCCTATCCTCCTAATCAGTTTCATTATCCTTGAGCTGATTGGAATTTTTGATTATACCCGTTAGCCAATCAATGATAAAGATGGTAATCCAACTGATAAATTTATAAGAATTTATCATAATTAGGATCTTGAAGCAAGTTTATAAGCAACTATGAGCCTCATGCTCTGGATAAAGTTATTGTATTTCTTCAGAATCTTCTAGTCAACTGGTTATTTAATTAGAATCATCACTGAAGTTGTTATCGACATGCGTCACTTCCTATTAATTATGGCATTGACTATTATCGCTTTTGGTGATTCAATGAGAAGCATCTCCACATCTGAGGAAGAAGGCAATGAATTCATTCCAAACTATTATGATGCATTTACCTACTGCTATAGAATGATCTTGGGAGATTTTGATCCTGAGACATTCGGCCAAGTTAACCGCACATACATGTGGATTCTATTTATTCTTTGTACAGTCTTCAACATGATCATTATGCTTAATCTCTTGATAGCTATTATTTCAGAGTCATTTGCTAAAGTCAACGAAGTATCTGTTCAAGCTAGCTACTAAGAAAAGGCTGACATCATTGCTGAAAACAGTTATCTCATTCCAGAAAATGAAGTTTAAAATTTCTGCCCAGAAAACAAGTATCTGTTGATTGCATCTGATGTTGCTCAAGAGCTTAAAGAAAAAGGTGATGCCCTTGATTACAAGTTGGAAACAATTATCAGCAAAGTTAATGTCCACACAAACCAAGTAGAGCAAAGTCTTAATGATTAAATCAAGGGAGCTAGAGAAAACTTCAAGTCTGAAATCAAAAGAACACTAGACATAATGAAGGAAGAAAATGGAAAAGTATTTACATTGCTAGATGAAGTTAAGACAAGAATGGCACTTAGCGAGGCCTGAACAGCAGTTGGCTTAAATTACTCCCACCAAACTTAAACAAATAATTACAATTTAATTTTAATTTTACCTAACAAATATCTTCTGTGGGGTTTTGGGGTTTTGGGG